TTTTCGTAAAGATCCCCCAGCACTGTTACACCTCTCTGAAACCAGAGAAGGGTAATTTAGCAATAGAAAGTTTGGGATTACACCAAATACCAGCAGATTGGTTGAGATGTGGGTCAAATTTGAATAATTTGGACATTCTTTTCCATACTTCTTTCAAATGAGAAAATACCGGATGTGATTGGATGTGGGGGGACAGATTAGTTGATAAGCTAATAATAATATTATTGGTGTAAATGGCGAGCAAGCAGTACTTTCAATGGAAAACCAAGGAGGCGCTTTCTCAGGGGGTAAGAACCAATGTGCCAGATGCCGAAGAGAAAAAGCATAATGATATAAAAGTATATTAGGCATCCCTAACCCACCTCTGTCCACTGGTTTCTGCAGTTTTCTCAGATTCAATCTAAGCTTTTTATTACTCCATATAAATGCTTTACAAAGCTGCTCAAATTGTTTGATGTATTTCAAAGGAACATGAATTGGTAGAGCCTACAACAAATAATTGAACTTAGGTGTACATACCATTTTGATTACGTTTACCTTTCATTGAAAGATACATCTGAGACCAGCGATCAACATTAATTCTCATATCGCTGAGTAAAGATTCAAAATTTATCTTTATCAGGTCTGACAGATGAGGCGGGAAGGTGATGACAATGACAGTAAGTTCATCACCAAATGCTGCATTTCCTCAACACTGAAGCTAATTCATAGAAGAGGCACCTTCAGGGTTAAACACTGTTTGAATGGAAGAATGAGCCAAAGTCACAGCTGAGCAATAAGCAGAGTACAGCCTATCAGTATTCACATCCTCATCAACAGCAGCAGTCCGGTTACAACCATAAACGCCTTTTTATAACATCTGTAACAGATGTTTTTGTTTGTTTTCAGAGCGGGCGGCGCATCTAAGAAGGAACCAGATTGATTTGATTGACTTGGTCGTTCAGTCTTTGTTAACTTTGTTTTTGAGAAACATTCATGAACTGTTTAAGTATTTGCACGTGATGTTCTGTCACCACTGATTCTCATCAGTGTTGAGATGTTGCACTCGTTGGAGACGGGGATGGAGACAGTCCCTCCTCTGCACATGTCCAAACCATTTCAGCTTCAGCTCTCTGACTTTGTCTCCAAACCACTGAGCCTGAGCTAAAATGCTTCCATTGATAAATAACAAACGTTTTCATCCACGGTGATGATATAACAGATGTATACAACAGAGAGGTAAATAATACAAAACAGTACCTTGGTGCCCAAATACACAATCTGTCCTGCGTAGCTCGAGACTGATTGGTAACAAGCCTTTTCTCCAACTAAAGCCTGAAACACAAACACAGAAAGTCAGTGGTGAACTCATTGATAATGCTTTCAAACACATTATTTTTATTTTATTATTTTCTTACGAATTCTGGGACCAGATCCCGAATCACAAGAATTTAGAAGATATTCAGGTTTAATTAACAGAATCTAGAAGGTAACCAGGACCTGATTCATGTAACACTTTAGGTTCAGAATCTGTTTACAGGTTTGCATGAACAGAACTCGATGTGTTCAAATCATGAACGAGTGTCTTTGTGTTTGAGTAACTATCCAAACGTCCTGTGCTGACCTGTAGAGC